GAAACCATTAAATGTAAATCAGTTTATATACATTCATATTACAGTATTATATGCGTTGCGACCCACTTTTGTCAATTTCTAGGTCCCAAATGTTAGCGATTTAGCTCCTTTAACTCTAGAAGTAATTTACAGAGAATTTTGAAATCTGATATAAATTTCATACAATTCGAAGGTTCACTAGGTTCACAACGTAAAACAAGGGCCATAACTCTAGAAATAATTGACAGAAAATGCTGAATTCCAATAGACCTCCGTTTCACTAATCTAAATGATGTATATAAATTTCATACAGATCAGATGATAACTTTCATCAATCGAGCATTAACACAGTTGAACAAAGTGAAACAAGGTTCATAACTTGAGAAGTAATTATTGTAAATTGCTGAAATTCAATAGGCTTCATGGTTTCACTAATCTAAATGATGCATATAAATTTCATACAGATCGGCTGATAACTTTTGGTGTTCACAAGGTTCAACAAAGTGAAACAAAGGCCGTAACTCTAGAGGTAATTAACGGAAATTGTCGAGATTCGACGGGCTTCTTCATTTCACTAATTTAAATAATGCATATAAATTTCATAAAGATTGGATGATAATTTTTGGCGTTAGAACATTCACAAGGTACAACAAGTGAAACAATGGCCATGACTCTAGACATAATAAACGGAAATTGCTGAAATTCTTCTTTTTACTAATTTCATACAGATCGGCAGATAACTTTAGATGTTAGAGCGTTCACAAGGTGCAACAAGGGCCATAACTCTAGAAGTAATAAACGGAAATTGCTGAAATTCAAAAGGATTCTTCTTTTTACTAATGACACATATCAATTTCATACAGATCAGCAGATAACTTTTGATGTTAGAGCGTTCACAAGGTGAAACAAGGGCCTTAACTCTAGAAGTAATTAACGGAAATTGCTGAAATTCAACAGACTTCTTCGTTTCACTAATTTAAATAACACATATAAAATTCACAAAGATCAGATGATAACTTTTGGTGTTGGAGCGTTCACAAGGTTGAATAAAGTGAAACAAGGGCCATAACTCTAGACTTAATAAATGGAAATTGCTGAAATTCAATATGTTTCTTCGTTTCATCAATTTAATTAATGCATATCAATTTAACAAAGATCGGATGATAACTTTTGGCGTTAGAGCGTTCACAAGGTTCAACAAAGGCCATAACTCTAGACATAATAAACGGAAATTGCTGAAATTCAATAGGCTTCTTTGTTTCCCTAATTTAAATATTGCATATAAATTTCACAAAGATGGGATGTTAACTTTTGTCATTCGAGGGTTCACAACGTTCAACAAGGGCCATAACTCTAGACATAATAAACAGAAATTATTGAAATTAAATAGGATTCTTCATCTCACTAATGTAAACAACATATATCAATTTTAAAACAATTGGATGATAAGAAATTGTGGCCGACAGACAGCAGGGACGACAGCAATTTACGTCAACATTTGCATGTGGGCGTATAAAAAAACGATTTTTCGTACCATCAAGGGTCATAATTCAGGAAGTTACAATCCGATATGCGCGAATATCGAAAGGAACCACGATCTCTGGGTTAAAAACAGGTATTTCAAGTTTCATCAAAATCAGATGAAAATTGTGACCTCTAAAGTGTCCACAAACTTGATATACCATATATTTACACTATTTGCGTATGAGGGGGTCGTGCATCAACATCAATAGTTGCCGTCCTTAGAGTATAAGGAATAAGTATACCAAGATAATCTATTCAGAATTGTGGCTTTCGACGGTCGGGGCATTCACCAAAATTAATAGTTGACGCCCTTAGGCTATAAGGAATACATATGCCAAGTACCAAGCTGATCCATTCAGAATTGCGGCCTGTAAACGAAAAACATAACCAGCGGCTGCCAGGCAGGATACGCCCACATTTTCGAGAGATGGATAGAGAACAAGCTAAGAAGAAAGTGATTTTTCCTACAATCAAGGGCCATAACTCAGGAAATTACAATTAGATATGCGCAAATATCGAAAGGAACCGAGATCTTTGTTATAAACTTACATTTCAAGTTTCAACAAAATCGGATAAAAATTGTGACTTCTATAGGGTCCACAACTTTGATATACCCTATTTTTACGCTATTTGAGAACGAAGGGCGGCCATTTTATCTGTCAGTTTTGGGCTGATTTTCACGAAATTTGAACTTAGGGTGTAACGGTGATATAATAATACGATTTTTTTAAATCGGATAAAAATTATGACCTCTAAAGGGTCCACAAGCTAAAAACGTGATTTTTCGTACAATCAGGGGCCATAATCCATGAAGTTTCGATCCGATACATGCCAATATCGAAAGCAGCCGAGATCTTTTGGGGATAAACCTATATTTCAAGTTTCGTCAAAATCGGATAAGAATTTTGACCTGTAGAGAGTCCACAAACAATTGTGGACGGACGGACAGGGGCGACGGCATAATACGTCCACATGAAAATGTGGGCGTATAAAAATTGAACGTGCAGTTATCGTCCTTAGGCTATATATAAGGAATACATATCCCAAGTTCAAAGACGATCCATTAAGAATCATGGCCTGTAGGCAACATACACAGACACAAAGAAAAAATGGGTATGGCTCTGCTCCTGGGGGATTAGGAATCACCAAAAAAACAATAGGGTCATCCTTAGGGTATAAGGAATAGGTATGCAAAGTTTCAAAAGGATCTGTTAAGATTTGCCATCTGTAAGCGAAACACAAGATACACAAAAATTGGGCGTGGCTCTGTCCCAGGGGGTCGGGCATGCACCAAAAATAATAGAGGTCAGCCTTAGGGTATAAGGAATAAGTATAAAAAAAGTTTTCAAGACGATCGATTAAGAATTGTGGGCTGTAGGCAACACACAGACACACAAAAAGAAAATGGGCGTGGCACTGACCCTGGGGGTTGGGCATGCACCCCAAACGATAGGGATGTTCCTTAGGGTACAAAGAATAAGAATGCATAGTTTCAAGATGATACGTTAAGAAATACGGTCTGTAGACAACAAACAAACAAATACAAGAAATAGGCGTGGCTCTGCCCCTGGGGGGTGGGCATGCACACAAAACAATAGGGATCGTCCTTAGGGTATAAGGAATCAGTATACAAAGTTTGAAGAAAATCCAGTAAGTGACCCACAGACAAACATGCATACATACACACAGACCGGGGTGAATGCGTAATACACATTATGAATGTGGACGTATAAAAATTAGACGTGGCTCTGCCCCTGGGGGTCGGAACATGCACCAAAATCAAAAGTTGCCGTCCTTAGGCGATAAAGAATATATATGCCAAGTTCCAAGACGATCCATTAAGAATTGTGGCCTGTAGGCAACACACAAAGCAAAAATGGGTGTGGCTGTACTTGGGGGTTGGGAATTCACCAAAAAACAATAGGGTATATGGAATAGGTATGCAAAGTTTCAAAAGGATCTGTTAAGAATTGCAGCCTGTAGCCGACAAACAAACAAATGGGTGTGGCTCTGCCCCTGGGGGTCGGGCATGCATCAAAAATAATAGAGGTCATCCTTAAGGCATAAGCAACAAGCCAACAGTGAGGCTGATGTCCCCCGCCGAAATAGGAAAATAATTAGAGGACACATATAAAAATCAAATTGCGTATCGCTCTGCTTACCCTGAGCAGAAAATGCTCATTATCAAACTTAGTCAAGGTATTACTGTAATGAAACTATACACCAAGTTTCATCAATCTCACTTAATTAGAACTAAAGTTATCGTGTCCCAAAGCATCAACCAATCAAATTGCTTATCTCTGCTTACCCTAAGCGGAAAATGCTCATCTTCGAACTCCATCAAGGCATTGACCTAATCAACACATACACCAAGTTTGAACATTCTAGCTCAATTAGGAAGAGAGTTATCGTGCCCCAAAGTATCAACCAATCAAATTGCTTATCTCTGCTTACCCTAAGCGGAAAATGCTCATCTTCGAACTCCATCAAGGCATTGACCTAATAAACACATACACCAAGTTTGAACATTCTAGCTCAATTAAAAGTTATCGTGTCCCAAAGCATCAACCAATCAAATTGCTTATCTCTGCTTACCCTAAGCGGAAAATGCTCATCTTCGAACTCCATCAAGGCATTGACCTAATCAACACATACACCAAGTTTGAACATTCTAGCCCAATTAGGAAGAGAGTTATCGTGTCCCAAAGCATCAACCAATCAAATTGCTTATCTCTGCTTACCCTAAGCGGAAAATGCTCATCTTCGAACTCCATCAAGGCATTGACCTAATAAACACATACACCAAGTTTGAACATTCTAGCTCAATTAGGAAGAGAGTTATTGTGTCCCAAAAAGTGTGACGGACAGACAGACGGACAGACAGACGGACAGACGGACGGACGGACGGACGGACGGACGGACGGACGGAGGGAGGGAGGGACGGACGGACGGACGGACGGACGGACGGACGGACGGACGGACGGACGGACGGACGGACGGACAGACAGACAGACAGACAGACAGACAGACAGACAGACAGACAGACAGACAGACAGACAGACAGACAGACAGACAGACAGACAGACAGACAGACGAACCCATTTTAATAGTCCCCTGCTTTCTTCGAAAGGCGGGGGACAATAAGTTTTCAAGACAATTGATTAAGAAAATGTGCGTGGCTCTGCCACAATAGGGATGTTCCTTTGGGAATAAGTATGCAAAGTTTGAAGATGATACGTTAAGAAATGCGACCTGTAGATGACAAACACACACCAGAAATGGGCGTGGTTCTGCCCCTTGGGGTCGGGCATGCAACAAAAACAATAGGGATCATCCTTAGGGTATAAGGAATATGTATGTAAAGTTTCAAGGCGATCAGTTAAGAATTGCAAACCACACACACACCCACACACAGGGGCGACAGCAATATAGTATACTATAGTTTGTAATGGGGTTTTACCATGTTTCACATCTGCCATACACATAAAGAACAAATAAACCTTTTTAACTTTATTGAATGGATTGGAAATAAATACCTTTCAACTTAAATCGTCGATTTAGGACTTAAAATGTTGGTCAACTAGCTTAGTGCCTGTTCTCAAGCGGAGCTAACTGTAGACAGGCAGCCTAAGTTTAGTATGCTATGTCCTGTTTCACAAGTTTAACCAGCGGCTGCCAGGCTAATATGTCCACATTTTGCAAGAGATGGATAGAGAACAAGCTAAAAACAAAAACAATTTTTTGTACAATCAGGTGCCATAATCCAGAAAGTTATGGACTGAAAAGCGCAAATATCGACAGGGACTAAGATTTTTGGAATATAAAGATATGTTTTAAGTTTCATCAAAATCGGATACAAAATGTGACCTCTAGAGGGACCATAACCTTTGTATTAGATTTTCATTTCAATTTTCTCGAAATTCGAATTCAACCTTCATTATGGTGATATATTTAAACGGTTTATAAAATCGGAAAAAAAATTGTGACCTCTAGAGAATCCACAAGCTAAAAATGTGATTTTTCGACCAATCAGGTGCCATAATCCAGGAAATTACGTTCGGATATGTGTGATGATCAAAAGGAACCAAGATCTTTATGATAAAAACATATATTTAAAGTTTCATCCAAATCGGATAAAAACTGTGGCCTCTAGAAGGTTCACAACCTTGATATATCATATTTTTACACTATCTGCGTACAAGGGACGGCCATTATGTCCGTCAGTTTTAGTCCGATTTTCACGAAATTCGAACTCAACCATCATTAGGATGTAACGGTGATATATTAAAACGTTTTTTAAATCGGATAAAAATTTTGACCTCTAGAGAGACCAGAAGCTAAAATCGCGAATAAAAATTGTGACCTGCATAGTGACCACAAGCTCAAAACGCGATTTTTCGTACAATCAAGGGCCATAATTCAGGAAGTTACGATTCGATATGCGCGAATATCTAAAGGAACCAAGATCCTTGGGTTATAAACATGTAATTCAAGTTTCATCAAAATTAGATGAAAATGGTGACCTCTAGAGTGTCAACAAGCTTAATATATACTATATATTTACACTATTTGCGTACGAGGATCAGCCATTTTGTCCAGCAGTTTTGGTCCGATTTTCGTGAAATTCGAACTAAGCCATAATTAGGGTATAATGGTAATTATTCAAATGTTTTTTTAAATCGGATAAAATTTGTTACTTCTAGAGGGACCACAAGCTAAAAATGCGATTTTTTGTACAATCAAGGGCCATAAATCAGGAAGTTACGATCAGATTTGCACGAATATCGAAAGGAACCAAGATCTTTGGGTTATAAACATGTATTTCAAGTTTCATCAAAATCGAATCAAAATTATGACCTCTTGCCATATTTGAGTTTGGGGATCAGATAATGCAACAAACCATTGGTTTGCCAATGGGAACTGACCCCGCCCCATTTATGGCAAATGCACATTTATATAAATACAAATTCGACTTTCAAGACCATAAAAGAAAAACAGATTACAAAGTAGCTAAAAGTCTAAACTATACCTTCCGATACATTGATGACATAACAACTATCAATGATAACGGAAATTTCAACAAATATAAAAGTCAAATATATCCTCCTGAACTAATATTAAATAAATAAAATTCCGGTACTGTAAATGCATCTGTTCTTGACCTGAACATCAATATAATTAACAATACATTTAACGTCGGTATTTTCAACAAAACGGACAAATTTGGCTTTGAAGTAGTAAAATACCCATCAATCTATAGTAACATACCAGATACCACGCTATATAGTGTTTTCTATTCACAGGCATTACGATTTTTGACAATATGTAACAATAAAGAACTATTTCTCTCCTGAATGACTCATGCTGGCATTACACAATGGGTTCTTTGGGTTGTATTCCTAATTGTTTTCAAATTTGAGTGAAGTCTGTGTCACTACAGACCCGGGACTGTACAGCGCAGTGGACGCTTACGGCTAGCCCCCGGATCCATTCACTTTTTTTGAATTGTCTGTATGTTTGTGTTTTCCTGAGTATGATGTCCTGTCCATGTATTTGTTTTTGTGTAAATTTTGTGTGGTGCAGTCCCCCTGCACTTACTATTGAGGTTCCACAACCTTGATATACCATATTTTTACACTATTTGCGTACGAGGGGCGGCCATTTTGTCCATCAGATTTGGTCCGATTTTTATGAAATTTGAACTCAATCATCATCAGGGTGTAACAATGTTAACAATATTTAAAATTGGATAAATATTGTGATCTCTACAGGGTCCACAAGCTAATATTGCTATTTTTTCGTACAATCAGGGACCATTATCCATGAAGTTACGGCCGATATGCGCAAATATTGAAAAGAATCGAGATCTTTGGGTTATAAAAATGCATATCAAGTTTCATCAAAACTGTAACCTCTTGAGTGTCCACAAGCTAAAAACGTGATTTTGCGTACAATCAGGGGCCATAATCCATGAAGTTATGGTCCGATACATGCCAATATCGACAGGAACCGAGATCTTTGGGAGATAGACCTATATTTCAAGTTTCGTCAAAATTGGATAAAAATTGTGAGCTGTAGAGTGTCCACAAACAAATTGTGGACGGACGGGGGCGACGACAATATACGTCCACATGAAAATGTTTTAATTACTGCAAAATGTTTTTGAAATGTACAACATGAAAATTTTGGACGGGGGCGACGACAATATACGGGGGCGACGACAATATACGTCCACATGAAAATGTTTTAATTACTGCAAAATGTTTTTGAAATGTACAACATGAAAATTTTGGAATTTGATATTTATCTTTTCCTTATAACCCAAAAGAACTGGGATTCTAAACCTGACCATTTCAGATTCCAATTAGACTTGATATGTTGGGTTGTTATGACAGACGGACAGACGGACGGACAGACGAACCCATTTTAATAGTCCCCTGCTCTCTTCGAAAGGCGGGGGACAAATATATTACAATATTACCATACATACATACATACATACTAAGATATGCACTTGGGTTTTATAGTTTCATTCCTACATGGCTTTAAAGCTTAATGAACATATACCATTGTTAAGAAACTGAAACTTTTTTACGCTCATTTATTGTTTGAAACATGCTTTTCAGATATTCATAAGATGTTATCATAATGGCACATGCTGGAGCAACTTTGATTATTCTTGGAACAAGCCCTGAAAAATATTTAAAAATTTTGAAAATACATGCCACATCATATACTAAATGAATAAATTATGGTTGTGTAGTCCTGCCTGATAAAATTACCATTATTTCTATAGAAAATAATTTAATATTTTACACATTTACAGACCAAGTATACTTTGCAAAATGGACAGTCTTGTTTACATGATATATTTTAAAAAGTACAAGTGTTAGATCTTCAGTGATATCTCTTATGTAAAGTGACAAAATAAATTTGCATATGATGATGTCATCAGATGGTTATCAACCATCTTGTATTGAAATAATCTATCATGAATTTCACATTTTCAATAAAATATTTGATTGCTATCACTATTTCAATATAAAGATGGGTTGCCAAGCAAAGAAACAGTCCATAAATAAATAGAAAAATCTTTGTACTGTAAAATATCATTGGGGCATTATTAACAAGATTCTGTGGCATAATTAAGGGCAATAATTCTCCAAGTAATCAGAAATTGTTGTAATCATTGCAATCGAAACAAATAGTAGGGCGACCCACCATAAATAAATATCTCCAAATATCTTGACAATTACACCACAATATCTATATATACACCAAGCCTTAAATCAGTTTCAAACATTTATAGTCACTAAATAAACGGTCATGCTGTACATAATAAGCTACGACCATTTAATCATCCATAAATAATACACTGAAAGATGGTTCCGAGTGTCGCCCATAACATCTGAGCATGTGTGAGTAAAAAATAGGTTACGTGCCCTTGTTTTGAAAGTATTCTTGCTTAACCAATCTACCGATCATTCTACGTTTGATTAATAGGCCTGGATAATCAAGACTATTTTTTTTACGAAACATGACAGAAAGTTGGAACAATAAATTGAATTTAGAAACATGCACCTTAGGCAACTCAACAATTGTTTTAAGAACCTTGTAAAAGTAAAATGAAACTACTGCTAGTATCATGTTCTTGCCCAACGCAAGTATTTCAGAGATATTATTTGTACTAAACCAAAAGATGTAGCTCCTAATGGTACAATTAATGATAAAGCAATTTAAAAAATAAAACAAACGTAATTTCTAAAACTGCTGTAATAACCAATAAGCTAAATATTACTGCTATTCAGAATTGTCAACAATAGATTTTTTACGGCTGTAATAGTTGATAGAAGTGTAGAGAATTGCAAGTGCCATGGCTATTTATAGTATCATAGACTCTACCGCTGAGTGTGTAGTGTATGCGAGAAATCACTTCAAGATAAGACACAGAAGCGTGTACATTCGCCGTGCCGAGACCAACTTTCTCTACGGTGCACGGGTCAGCCTACAAATAGCCATAAATTTAAAGTAGATCAGATTATGACTTGTGCTTTTGATACATTTCACAAGACTCGATAAAGTGCACAAAGACAAGTAATAAAAATTTGATATTCAGCTTAATCAAAACAAAGAACATAAATTTCAAGGCGATCAGATGATGACTTTTATCACTCGATAGAACAATTCTTTAAATGACATTTAGAAGTACAGTTAACTATTCACAATAAAACACAACACAAGTTAAATATGAATATAACTAATTCTCTGTTATTTAATTACGTTTCATAACAACATACAGGTTACATTCTCAAGTTAATTTGGACCAAAAGCAGGCGTTACTCAGGAACAAATGTACTTTGGATTGCTTCCCGCAAGTAGGTCAATGATTGAGTATACCAAATTCCATGTCAAAGACTACAGGTATGTTACTGTCTAAGGATCCCGAAGTATCTTGGATGACCCTAAACATTCATAATAAGTAAGTAAGTAAGTAAATTATATTGCATAAAAACAGTGGTACATATTAAAGATGGGTTCCCGCGTACAAACTGGGTGATTTAATGGTATTTATGGACTAAAAACATATTCAAACTAATTAATTTGTCATAACTTTGCTTCAAATCCTTCTTAAACATTGTAATTGCCAAGGAATGCCCTGCTATAAAAATTTGATCAAACCAGGTTATGTTTACGTCGCGCGACTTACCTCTCTTGGAAGTCAGAGGAGAATTCATTGCATACATAAGACGATGTTGTCTTTAATCACTTACTATTTATTACAAATATCGAATCCTAATTAAATTCTCGGATTATCTACTATTCACGTCTTTTTCCGTCATTTTTATCTCAGAAAGTGTTGTACATCTAACTCTTCATAAAGTTTATCAACTTGTACATCAAGCGCTCAATGTTCGCGTGTGACCTTTGACATCACGCGTGCAGAAATTCCTAATCGTCGGGCTGTTGATTTGGGGAACCCTTACATTTTTGTCCTGTATACGCCCCATGAGTGTTTTTCGGGGAATCCAGTATTTTTCTAGTAAAATTGGATATCTCTACTTTCCATATATACCAAAATTACCATACTTTTATTGGAAATAACCACCCGATAAAATACTTTTCTGGGAACCCATCTTTAAGTGATTTATCTTACCTCTAAAAAGTGACTGTATACCTTGCTGTCTATACATATGTTGCAATATTACCCATGTTGATGTTTGATCTAAACACAAAAGACATTCATTTGTTAAAATATAATTTTCAGAATGAACCAAAGACAATAAATACATGTAGATAACTACAACCTATATCATCAAAATATTTAAATAGGGTTCCTCACATGAACATTTCAACTGAGTTCCAATAAATACTATTGAGAACTTTTTTTATGTATCACTTTCAACCCTATAAAAGTCAAAACATATGTAATGATTAATGGAGAATGTGTATTAAAGGCCTGATGATGTTCCAATGGAACTGAAAGCAAACGTAGTGGACACACTAGCCGAATCATTCAACCGAATCAATCTGCGTCGAAATTCGCCTAGTCTGTCCAGTGTCATTCGGCCGAATCAAACATGTTTGATATATTCAGGTGAATATATTCGCCTACTGTCTGAACCTTGCTATTTTATAAACGGATTTCTTCGATTATGAACAAACTATTTAACTTTGGTTATTATAAACTTACCTGTGTGTTTGAAATCAACTCCGGTTAAATAAAATCCATTGTACAATTAAATATCCCAACAAATAAAAAAGTTTTCTCTTGAAAAATTGAACTCAAACAAACTTTTGACATAGGGCAATACAAAAATGGAAGCCGGTTACGTCACTCTTCGGGAGATATCATTTCGTATAAAGGGGTGACAGCATGCTACATCGAAACGTTTTACGGTACTTTTACGACAATTCGTGGTATTAGCCTCGGCTTGGTATTGAGTTTGGGGGTTCGGCCCATATTACCATCTTTTTACATTCTAGTAAAATCCCAGCAAAGTTTATACATTTTCTTTTGAAATACTATAATTTTGTTTTAATTATTTGATTATAGGTTTTTTGGCATTATACACCAACAGAATTGGCACCTTCGGGGCTGCCGCAACACGCTTGTATATGTTGCTGAAACGTTTATCGTTTCCTCGAAAGAACGATATTAAGTTAACGATGTTGTTTCTTAAATTATTTATAATACATGTATAAAGAAGATAGGGAAGGTTTAGTTTAAATACGACTTTATTTTTACTAGTATCCGTGCAATCATTGATATTTTCATTGTGAATGAAATTTGGTAGACTGGCCATCAATGGTTTCAATATAAATCTTCTATGTAATTAATTGCCTTTAGTTAAAATTTTTCGTCGCCCAAACTCAAACAATCACGGTTTGTTTTCATAGCAACATGTGGTTGTCAAACTCGCTGTCAAAACTAAACACCCCCACAACAACTGTAATGGTTTCGTCCAACACGTGACGAAAGCCATGTTGTCTTCGACTTTGTAGAAAATATAAGTAAACATGTCAAATTTTTCAAGAGAGAACTTTTTTATTCGTTGGGATATTTAATTGTATAATGGATTTTATTTAACCGGAGTTGTTTTCAAACACACAGGTAAGTTTATAATAACCAAATTTAAATAGTTTGTTCATAATCGAAGAAATCCGTTTATAAAATAGCAAGGTTCACACGATTTTTAGAATTCATTAGCCAATCACCACTGATGTCAAGAAGTCACATAATTGTATGAAGACATGGTCGCTGCCATGTTTAATCATGTGACGTGAAAGGTGATGCAATCGACTGGTGAATCGGGCAAAGAATTCGCCAAGTGTCTCCACTAATTCGACTGAATGAATTTGGTGGCGATTGATTCGGCCAAATTATTTGGCTAATGTGTCACCCACTTAAGAGCAGCTCGTTAATTTTAAGTAAACATTATTGTAATACATACATGTTATAATTGTCTTACTTGATAATGTATCTAAAGTTCCAATAGTTATTTGTCTATTAGTTTTAACAACATCAAATGGCAGTGTTAAGACTGCAGCTACCTAAAATTGAAAATAATGTGATCATCTTTTCATTAAAGAAACATTAGTTAAGAGTTTACTAAAAAGTTGGTAATTCTTGCTATAATAATTCAAAAATAGATGCTAACCAGCAGCTGCCAGGCAGGATACGCCCACATTCTGCGAGATATGGATAGAAAACAAGCTAAAAACAAGCCACATTTTACGAGATATGGATAGAGAACAAGCTAAAAACAAAAACAATTTTTTGTACAATCAGGGGCCATAATTCAGGAAGTTACGATCCGATATGCGCGAATATCGAAAGGAACCGAGATCTTTGGGTTATAAACTTACATTTCAAGTTTCATCAAAATCAAAAGAAAATTATGACCTCTAGATATATGATATATCATATTTTTACGCTATTTGAGAAGGAGGGAAGGACATTTTGTCTGTCAGTTTCGGCCGATTTTCACGAAATTTGAACTCAACCATCCTTAGGGTGTAACGGTGATATACTGAAACGTTTTTTTAAATCGGATAAAAATTATGACCTCTATAGGGTCAACAAGCTAAAGATAGGTTGCCAGGAAATGAAACAACGCCCACAGCAGCTAAATCGTCCGAGCGGTCGACAAGAGTTGTCGCATATTTATTCCTTTGTAGGTAATTGGGGGCCTTTACAAGACAGTTCCATATTTTTGTCGTTTGAGGGTCCACAAGGTTTTACAAACTGAAACAAGGGCCTCAACTTTGGAAGTAGTTTACAGAAATTGTTGAAATTTGACAGACTTTTTCGTTTTACTAATTTAAATAATGCACATAAATTTCATACAGATCGTATGATCACTTTTTTCATTCAAACATTCACAGGGTTCACACAGAACAAGGGCCATAGCTATAGATACAATTGACGGAAATTGCTGAAATTCAATAGACCTCTGTTTCACAAATTTTAATGATGCATGTAATTATAAATTTCATACATATTGGATGATAACGTTCATCAATCGAGCATTAACAAGGTTGAACAAAGTGAAACAAGGGCCATAACTCTAGAAGTAATGATTGTAAATTGTTGAAATTCAATAGATTTCGTGGTTTCACTATTTTAAATAATGCATGTCAATTTCAAAAAGATCGAATGATAACTTTTGACGTTGGAGCGTTCACAAGGTTCAATAAAGTGAAACAAGGGCCATAACTCTAAACGTAATAAACGGAAATTGGAGGCAGACCACCATTAATTTCCCCATTGACTTCAATGTTAATTCCTGCCTCTTTGCCCACCTCCAACTTTTCCCAAAATTTTAGTTGGGCTGAATGCTTTTCACTACAGACAGAGGAACAAATGGTCATGTCTTTGCCATAAAATTTGTATGAGGTCGACCACCAAAATTTTGAGATACACAAACTTGAAGAAGCATACTAAAAACATGTAACTAGTTGCCGTACATATCACCGTAGCCAACCTGATAACTCTGTTATCCTTCCACCTCAAAATCATGAATATTTACCAAAACCTGGCAGAAAATGTTAATCCAAACCCTCTTCGTCCATTCTAGACCAAAAAATCAACAAAAATGGACATGCAGAAGGGGAGAAAGGAGACAGAGAGAGAATTGCTATAAATAGATGAACTACAATTTGTGGGTACCGAGATGGTGAAATTTAATGGTGGTCTGCCTCCTATATGGTTTTATAAGTTCATATATCATCAAAATTCTTTTCTTTTTAGCTTCACATTTATTTTTGCAACATTTCTATAATACAGAATCAAAAAATATTAATTACTGAAGAAATGGTGACCCTTTAAAGTTATGTACTGTTTTGTATACCGGATTGCAGCTCAGGTCTATGGACCTTTTGTTCTAGAATTGAAGATTCTTTCTTAATTTTGTCGAAATGTGAGTTCTGCGAAAAGCTTTAAAGAGTTTCAAACAAGTCACATCAAAAATATTCAAAATATTGGAATATTTTTCAAAAATTGACTTTCTTTTACCTTTTTCTACAAAATGGTCAATTTTTGACACTTTGTATGCCTCAAAATGCCAATATTTCCCTATTTGTGGGAAAGTCTGAGATGAAAGGCATTTATTTCTAGAAACCTTGGCCGGTATACAAGAAGACAAGCTGCAAATTGGTTGCATTGAAGGTAACTGTAAGGAACTATAGTGAAACTTGTAAGCCCACCCCCTAAAAATGCTGGTGTGGTAACTCCCACCTGTGTCCACATAAGTAATACTCTTGGTGGAATATGGCTAAAAGCCATGTTCTTCTATCCCTAGCTTATATACATGTAAATAAACACAGTTAGTTATAACAAGTATGAATTATTTATTAAAATCTAATTAAGTGGTCACAAAGCACTATTTTTATTTTAAAAATGGGAATATTTCAGTATTTAAAATACTTTAGCAATCAGAGGTATCCTTGAAATTACATAGTGTAAATATTTCGTGGAAGCAAGTTGTTTTAATCTTTACATCAATTTCCTGACAAAATGAGGTGGAAAAAGGGAGTTATGACATAATTCATAGCATAAAAGGGGTATGAAAAGGCTATTTATTAATATTTTATTGCTCTGTAAGTGCCACATTTTAAAAGATCACCACAAATAATAGATTTACATCCAAAATGTAAAACATTAAGCTGCAAAAAACACATCTACAACATATCCATTTTGGGGGGTGGACTCATTTGGAAGAAATGTCATAGGATTACATGTTTGGCTATAAACAAAAAGTCTTAGAAATCCTTGAAATCTTATATGTAACTATTTGTTTGTGCCAAATAAAATGCTCGGTTACAATTCAAGCACAAAATCCAATTACTGCTAATCTGGAGTCAACAAATGTTCAATTGAATATCCAAATATCATGTTCAAGAAAAGGGGTGGGCATGGGGAGGGTGAGCCAGTCTAAATGAAATGAAGACAGAGATTTCCCTGCAAATCCATAGATTTTACTTTCTCGAGAAGGGAAATGCAACATTTTCAGGTTTTGAAAGATTAAAATTGTGTTAAGCCAGAGGAACACAGCAGCAAAATGCAGTTCACTCATGTTTTGAAAATTCTAACATACCTCAACAGCACATAATTAGACTAAATTTCTTAATTTTTAAGTTTTTGACAAACACATGAATATTTTTTCAATATCTGACAAACACAAGGACCCTTTCCATGTTATTTAACAATGAAAATAAAGACATGCAAGACGTTTTGGTTTATTTTACAACAGATGAATAATTAAAATTTTGACAGCAATAATGGGGGTAATCTGAAGATTTTCAGACAACTTATCATGATTTCCACTAATTTTGAAAAGTAAATAAACGCTGAAAATCACAAAATTTTGACTAAAATCAAAATTTCCCCTCACAAATTTGTCAAATATTTTTTAAATTTTACCATTTCACTTTTTTTACTATCAAAATGTCATATATCACATTTTCTGACAATTTGGAGATCCTATCATCAAATTTAGGCCTTTCATCCACCGTCAGGTTGTTTCCATACAGGAGGCAGACCACCATTAATTTCCCCATTGACTTCAACGTTAATTCTGGCCTCTGTGCCCACATCCCAACTTTTCCCAAAATTTTCGTTGGGCTGAATGCTTTTCACTACAGACAGAGGAACAAATGGTCATGTCTTCGCATTAAAATTTGTATGAGGTTGACCACCAAAATTTTGAGATACACAAACTTGAAGAAGCATACTAAAAACATGTAACTAGTTGCCGTATATATCACCGTAGCCAACCTGATAACTCTGTTATCCTTCCACCTCAAAATCATGAATATTTACCAAAACCTGGCAGAAAATGTTAACTCAAACCCTCTTCGTCCATTCTAGAATAAAAATCAACAAAAATGGGCATGCAGAAGAGGAGAAAGGAGACAGAGAGAGAATTGCTATAAATAGACAAACTACAATTTGTGGGTACCAAGATGGTGAAATTTAATGGCGGTCTGCCTCCAATTGCTGAAATTCATTAGGCTTCTTCGTTTCACTAATTTAAATAATGCATATAAATTTCAGAAAGATCGGATGATAACTTTTCCTGTTGGAGCGTTCACACGGTTCAATAAAGTGAAACAAGGGCCAGAACTCTAGACGTAATAAACGGAAATTGCTAAAATTCAATAGGCTTCTTCGTTTTACTAATTTAAATAATGCATATAAATTTCACAAAGATCAGATGATAACTTTTGACGTTAGAGCGTTCACAAGGTTCAATAAAGTGAAACAGGGGCCATAACTCTAGACGTAATAAACGGAAATTGCTGAAATTTGATAGGATTCTTCATTTCCATAATTTAAATAATGCATATAAATTTCACAAAGATCAGATGATAACTTTTGGTGTTAGAGCGTTCACAAGGTTCAATAAAGTGAAACAGGGGCCATAACTCTAGACGTAATAAACGGAAATTGCTGAAATTCGATAGGATTCTTCATTTCCATAATTTAAATAATGCATATATATTTCACAAAGATCAGATGATAACTTTTGATGTTAGAGCGTTCACAAGGTTCAATAAAGTGAAACAAGGGCCATAACTCTAGATGTAATAAACGGAAATTGCTGAAATTCAATAGGCTTCTCCGTTTCACTAATCTAAATAATGCATATAAATTTCACAAAGATCGAATGATAACTTTTGGCGTTAGAGCGTTCACAAGGTTCAATAACGTGAAACAAGGGCCATAACTCTAGACGTAATAAACGGAAATTGCTGAAATTCAATAGGATTCTTTGTCTCACTAATTTAAATAATGCATATAATTTTCAGAAAGATCGAATGATAACTTTTGACGTTAGAGCGTTCACATGGATCAATCAAGTGAAACAAGGGCCATAACTCTTAGACGTAATAAATGGAAATTGCTGAAATTCAATAGGCTTCTTCGTTTCAGTAACCTAAATAATGCATATAAATTTCAGAAAGATCGGATGATAACTTTTGACGTTAGAGCATTCACAAGGATCAATTTCAGAAAGATCGGATGATAACTTTTGACGTGAGAGCGTTCACAAGGATCAATAAAGTAAAACAAGGGCCATTACTCTAGACGTAATAAACGGAAATTGCCGAAATTCAATAGGCTTCTTCGTTTCAGTAATCTAAATAATGCATATAAATTTAAGAAAGATCGGATGATAACTTTTGGTGTTAGAGCGTTCACAAGGTTCAATAAAGTGAAACAACGGCCATAACTCTAGACGTAATAAACGGAAATTGCTGAAATTCAATAGGATTCTTCGTTTCACTAATTTAAATAATGCATGCAAATTTCAGAAAGATCGGATGATAACTTTTGAAGTTAGAGCGTTCACAAGGTTCAATAAAGTGAAACAAGGGCCATAACTCTAGACGTTATAAACAGAAATTGTTGAAATTTAATAGGCTTCTTCGTTTCACTTACTTAAATATTGCATATAAATGTCACAAAGATCGTATGTTAACTTTTGGCATTAGAGCGTTCACAAGGTTCAACAAAGTGAAACAAGGGCCATAACTCTAGACGTAATAAACGGAAATTATTGAAATTAAATAGGATTCTTCATCTCACTAATGTTAACAATATATATCAATTTTAAAACAATTGGATGATAACTTTTGGCGTTAGAGCGTTCAGACGGACGGACGGGAGCGACGGCAATATACGTCCACATTTCAATGTGGGCGTATATAAAAAGGCAATTCAGGAAGTTACGTTCCGATGGGCGCAAATATCAAAAGGAACCAAGAAATCTGGGTTATAAAAATGCCTGTCAAGTTTCATCAAAATCGGTTCAAAATTGTGACCTCTATAGGTCCACAAGCTAAAAACGTGATTTTTTCGTACAATCAGGGGCCATAATCCATGAAGTTTCGGGCCGATACATGCCAATATCGAAAGCAGCCGAGATCTTTTGGGGATAAACCTATCTTTTAGGTTTCGTCAAAATCGGATAATTGTGGACCGACGTCCGGACGGACAGGGCGACGACAATATACGTCCACATGAAAATGTGGGCGTATAAAAATGTGATTTTTCGACCAATCAGGTGCCACAATCCAGGAAGTTACGTTCGGATATGTGTGATGATCAAAAGGAACCAAGATCATTATGATAAAAACATATATTTAAAGTTTCATCCAAATTGGATACAAAGTGTGGCCTCTAGAGGGTTCACAACAGTGATGGGATTTTGCCCATATATTCCGAATCTTTTTTCCACACGCCCAAAATTGTCCAACCGGGAATATGCCCAATTGGATATCAAGACAGTGCCGAGAACCCACTTTTGTTCGATATATAATGTTTCTCGGTGGACTATTGTTGGGTAGGGTCCCCTTGATTTTTCCAGGGTGGGTGTGGTCGTGTCACTCTTGGGGAAAATTAATTATTCAAGATGGCGGTCAAAAATGGCGAGAAAAATACAAAAAAACATTTTTCACCTTCATAGGTCGTGTAATATATCGTTTTATAGGTTTTTGGGGTCACTGAACACGCATACGGGCATATTTTTAACATCCGACCTATTCCGACAAAGATATTCAAAATGGCCGCGGAAGTACAAGAATTTCATATATCGCCATACTAGGTCGTGTAATATATCATTTTATATGTTTTGGGGGTCGCTTAACGCGAATTCGGACATCTTACCAACATAAGACCCATCATGAAGATGGAAAATAAAAAAACAACAAAGTTCACACAGCTGGATTTATGATAAATCATTCCAGAAATTTTAATTTTAGCTAAAACTATAAGTAACAAAAAGATACGATATGTAAAACATATGACCAAAGCAGTATTAATATTAGTGTATCATATTGTGTCATCTTCATCATCGTCTTCATCATCACTATCCTCTGTTCCAGTCTCAAATGAGACGGAATTGAAGCATTTGTCTGAATTGGAACAAGAACAAAAACCAGAACATTTTTTTACATACACAACGGCCGCTTTGACATAGCGGCTCAGATTAACACCCGCATTTTATAACTTTTATCAGAACATCCTTTACCATCTTAGTACCATCTGGTACCAATCTGGGCACTAGTGAATTTTGGGAGACTGGAAGAGTACTCACCCCAGCCATAGTCTAGTGGACTTAAGTCTGGTGGATCGGTTTCGTCCACGGCTGAAAAGCATACTTTTAATTGAAGGTGGCTCGTTTCAGGCTCAACTTTACAGCTTCGTCTGTTTAGGAGCCACGTCTGCTTGATTTCTGCGTATTCTCGATTTCATCATATGTTTTACATATCGTATCATTTTGTTACTTATAGTTTTAGCTAAAATTGAAATCTCTGGAATGATTTATCTTAAATCAAACTGTGTGAACTTTGCTTTTTTTTATTTATTTTCCGCCTTCATGATGGGTCTTATGTTGAAAAGATGTCCGAATTCGCGTTAAGCGACCCCCAAAACATATACACCGATATTACACGACCTAGTATGGCGAAATATGAAATTCGTGTACTTCTGCCATTTTGAATATCTTTGTCGGAATAGGTCGGATCTTAAAAATATGCCTGTATGCGTGTTCAGCGACCCCGAAAATATGCCCGTATGCGTGTTCAGCGACCCCGAAAACCTATAAAACGATATATACTATTCAAAAAAAGTAGGGGATATTTGATTTTGGGGGCATAATACTAAAATATGCAAATGACTACGAAAAAAGTCACTATAGAACCTAACAGAAGAAACATTTCCAGTTACATGTGACGCCCAAACGCACCAATAGCTACCGCATGGAATGCAGGTGATGCTTGGGATCATCATGGGGGTCCAACCCAAGATTTGCACGACTCTGACTTTGAATGTTACAGTCATTGTGGCATTGAATTCCAGGGTGGAAACATCAGTTTAATTGTTTTAGTGACCAGAAAACAAATTTTGATATGCGTCGGCTTACCCAAAATGAAAGGTTACGTGCCCTTGGCATGCTACAGATCGGCACAACACAGGCGGTTGTGGCGCGGACGATGAATATCGAAAGGAACCAAGATCTTTGGTATATAAAACGCATTCCATGTTTTATCAAAATCAGATCAAAATTGTGACTTACAGAGGGTCCACGGCCTTGATATACCATATTTTACACTATTTGCGTACATGGAGCGGCCATTTTGTCCGAAATTCAAACTCAACCATCATTAGGGTGTAACAGTGATATACTAAAACGTTTTTTGAAATCGGATAAAAATTGTGACCTTTAGAGGGACCACAAACTAAAAACGTGATTTTTCGTACAATCAGGGGCCATAATTCTGGAAGTTACGATCCGATATAATATCGACAGGAAACAAGATATTTGGGTTATAAACATGCATTTCAAGTTTTATCAAAATCAAATTAAACATTTTACCTCTAGAGTGTCCACAAGCTAAAAATCGGATAAAAATTGTGACCTCTATAGGGACCACAAGCTCAAACTGTGATTTTTCATACAATCAGGGGCCATAATCCCTGAAGTTATGGTCCGATACACGCCAATATCGAAAGGAACCAAGATCTTTGGGAGATATACTTATATTTCAAGTTTCGTTAAAATCGGATAAAAATTGTGACCTGTAGTGTGTCCACAAACAAATTGTGGACGGACGGACAGGGGCGACAACAATATACGTCCACATGAAAATCGAAAATTTCATTCAAATTACTTCATTCTGAGCCAAATTATCACTGTGTGTAGTTTTGACAAGATGTGTGCATAGTGGTAACCAGGGTTCTGGTATATTCAAGAGTTATTACAATCTACTTGGATTTGTTATCTTGTGTACACTTATAGATATAGACTACAAACCGTTCCAGCTGATGCACCAGCAACAAAACTGTTTATTGGTGTTAGTTTAGCTGAACCTCTAGTTCTTAACACATCGGATTTTGTGACTTTCAAATTCAAGCTAAGTTTGCAATCTAGTTGGATTTCTTATTTGTGTACACTTATAGATATAGACTACAAACCGTTCCAGCTGATGCACCAGCAATAAAACTTTCTATTAGTTTTAATTTAGTTGAACCTCTAGTTCTTAACACATGGGATTTCATTTGCTCATAACTGAACCAGTATAGGGCTGAAATAAAAATATACTTTCTTTCAAATACACACTTATATAGCAACAAAACATCCCTATTAATAATTGTTGTCATCTGTGAATACTGAGAATACTTCTACAATACTGCATGCCTGGTGGAGTGGGAGGCCTAGGGGGGGCTTTAGCCCCCCCAATAATTTGGCCGCAAGTACTCTTTTCTCCAGGTTATTGCGGCCCCTGGACCAACGCCTATAAGGACCTAGGATGGAAGCCCCCCTAATCAAGAATTGCTTCCGCCGGCCTTGTACTGGTTCTTATTTCAGCATTTATCAATCTGTAAAATGTACATGCAGACAATTAATTTTGCAATATTCTCTTTACCTCTCAAATTGTTCAAAATTTCAATGGATAGACTTAGTTTCAAAGATAGAACATAATGGCTAAAAATTTAAGCTTAGTCTCATATCATCATGACATGAGAATGTAATACTGGATCATGCCATCAAATTTCAAGGGAGAATAGTACTACTGTTGCTATATTTCTTTATTAAAACTGAATTAATCATCAAAAAAACTACTTGGAACTAAACACATGAGTGGTGCTATCTTTTTGTCATAAACATCCTTCATTTCATATTTATGTCAAGTAGGGTATGTTTTAAAAAATACTATATCCAAAATTTTTGCACGATACATCAAGCATTATTTCCCTAGAATTTTTTTAAATGATGAGCTAGTGAAAACGAGATCTTAAAAATCTTCCTTTTACACTCAATTTTTTGAACTTCGATACTTTTTTTACACTCAATTTTTTTAAACATCTATATACTTTGTACACTCAATTTGGGGCAATTTACTGCACTGGCATGTAATGTTTCACAAGAAATTGAGGACAGGTGCAGTAGCAATCATTTTCATAAAAGACATAGTCACAAATGAACGTTGTCAGTCTTTTTAACACCTTAAAGATCAAGTAAAAGAAACATTACCTGAAAATGGTAAATCTCGTAACAAAGTAGGACCAAGTCCTCGCCACATAGATAATAAACCACCCTGACTGATCATCTTTTGGATTGCTGTAATAATTTCTCTGTAGGTCAGCTGCTCAGACTGCATTTTTGTGCGAACAAGTTCTAAGGGACTTATTAAAGTCACTGCCCAAACTGTAACATAAATTCAATAATAACAAGCCAACAGTGAGGCTGATGTTCCTCGCCGAAATGCCAAAAAATATTGATTACACAAATTAATTAACAGCAAATTCATTTTTTTCAAAAGTATCAAGCAATCAAACTGATTATCAACTATACACTAAGTTTCATCACTCTATATCAGATAGAATCAAAGTTATCTTGTCCCAGAGCATCGACCAATGAAATTGCTTAGCTCTGCTTAGCTTTAACTCGAAGTGTTAATCATTGAACTCAGTCAAGACATTCACCTAATGAACATCTATATCAAGTTTAAACATTCTACCTCAATTAGAAGCAGAGTTATTGTGTTCCAAAGTCTTGACCAATCAAATTTAGCTCGAAATGTTACATCTACATTAAGTTTAAACATTCTACCTCAATTAAAAGCAGATTGTTATGTTCCAAAGTTTTGACCAATCAAATTGCTTATCGCTCTGCTTACCCTGAGCAGAAAATGCTCATTATCGAACCTAATCAAGGTATTGATGCAATAAAACTATACACCAAGTTTCATCACTCTCACTTAAAGTTATTGTGTCCCAAAGCATCAACCAATCAAATTGCTTATCTCTGCTTACCCTAAGCAGAGAATGCTCATCTTCAAACTCCATCAAGGCATTGACCTAATAAACACCTACAAGTTTGAAAATTCTAGCTCAATTAGAAGAAGAGTTTATTGTTTTCCAAAGTCTCGGCCAATCAAATTGCTTATCGCTCTGCTTACCCTGAGCAGAAAATGCTCATTATAGAACTTAGTCAAGGTATTGATGTAATGAAACTATACACCAAGTTTTATCACTCTCACTTGATTAGAACTAAAGTTATCGTGTCCCAAAGCATCAACCAATCAAATTGCTTATCTCTGCTTAACCTAAGCAGAAAATGCTGATCTTCGAACTCCATCACACCAAGCTCAATTAGAAGGAGAGTTATTGTGTCCCAAAAAGTGTGATGGACAGACAGACGGATGGACAGACAGACAGACGGATGGACGGACGTCCGGATGGACAAACGAACCCATTTTAATAGTCGCCTGCTTTCTTTGAAAGGCGGGGGACAATTAATTGTCATAGCATGGTCACTTGTACACCTGATTCCCCCACATGAATTAAAAAAGGACAATCCCTATCAAATAAATTACATGTAGATGGTTTAGAAAAATTTAGTGTTTGTTTTAAAATTATCAGACTTCTTTGATTAGGTTAACCAGTGGCTGCCAGGCAGGAAACGCCCTCATTTTCAAGAGATGGATAGAGAACAAGCTAAAAAGAAGTGATTTTTCGTACAATCAGGGGCCATAATTCAGGAAGTTACGGTCCGATATGCACAAATATCGAACGGAACCGAGATCTTTGGATTATAAACTTACATTTCAAGTTTCAACAAAATCGGATAAAAATTGTGACCTCTATAGGGTCCACAACCTTGATATACCATATTTTTAACCTATTTGAGAACGAACGGCAGCCATTTTGTCTGTCAATTCAAACTCATCCTTCCTTAGGGTGTAACGGTGATATAATAATACGGTTTTTTAAATCAGATAAAAATTATGACCTCTATAGGGTCCACAAGCTAAAAGTAAAAACACGATTTTTCGTACAATCAGGGGCCATAATTCAGGAAGTTACGGTCCGATATGCGCGAATATCGAAAGGAACCGATATCTTTGGGTTATAAACTTACATTTCAAGTTTCAACAAAATCGGACAAAAATTGTAACCTCTATAGGGTCCACAAGCTAAAAACGTGATTTTTCGAACAAACAGGGGCAATAATCCATGAAGTTTCGATTCGATACATGCCAATATCGAAAGCAACCATGATCTTATGGAGATAAACCTATATTTCAAGTTTCGTCAAAATCGGATAAGAATTGTGACCTGTAGAGTGTCCACAAACAAATTGTGGACGTCCGGACGGACAGGGGCGACAACAATATACGTCCACATGAAAATGTGGGCGTATAAAAATTGCGACCTCTATAGGGTCCAGAAGTTAAAAACGTGATTTTTCGTACAAACAGGGGCCATAATCCATGAAGTTTCGATCCGATACATGCCAATATCGAAAGCAGCCAAGATCTTTTGGAGATAAACCTATATTTCAAGTTTCGTCAAAATCGGATAAGAATTGTGACCTGTAGAGTGTCCACAAACAAATTGGACGGACAGGGGTGACGACAATATACGTCCACATGAATTAGATTTATGTATTTTCTCACTAAATTTTAATATATAACTGATTTTGTGTTCGACAGATTGTGCCGAAAACAAAGCAAATATTTGTAAGCAAACTAAACAAAAAGTTAATTGAACAAGTTTAGATTTTGGCCCATCAGTATCGAAAATAACAAATTAGATCAATCCAATTCAATTCTTTATTTGGATCTAAATCAAAGATGTTTAACTCTTTTGTTTTGTCTGATATCCCAAATATATGTCAAGTCTGTTTTACAAGGATCTAACTTGTGAACTATCTTCATCTTATTTTTTTGAACTACCAGGGGCGTATATAAAGATTTTGTTTAGGGGGGGAGGGTGTTTGACAAAAATTTATGTGAACCTTAGAGGCAGTGGCTATAACAATGAGCAACCTGAGAAAATTTTGAAAACATGAATTAATATCCTGGCATTTGAGGTCATTGCTGGGAGTAAATTCAAGAGAACCAGAAATGGGAGTCAATGCAACAGAATCTCGAGATCTGCCCCAGTCAAATCCGCCTGTTTTGCAAGAGTTGACAGAACATTTGTATAATCTGAGCCTCCACGACCCACACACCAGTGGTACTACTAACTGGGCAGCTGGGCAGTTCAATTGTAATAATATTGCCAGAATTTTTGCTCTTGAAATTAATGGTGGCAGTATATTTCGTTAATTAATTTTTTTGGCAAGTTGGTAGATTCCCACATATGTACTTTAATCAACTTAGTTAATAACTGATGGGTTGACACATAAAAAGAGTTATTTAGCCAAAACATGTGTCAATAAAATACCACCAGTTTAAACGTGAGTGGAATTATTCTAATTGCATCATTTGGCTTAATTTAACCAATCATATCGTTAATTGCACAGGTTCAGGGCCATGATCAGGATTTCTGTGCATGACATGCATGAGTCTTATAAAAGAAATCATAATAAACTTTTAAGTTAGACTTCCATTAGATTCCAGAGAGGTTCCATCTGAGTTCCTAGACAGCCACAAGGCTGGCTAGGGTGGAGAAATGGTTTTAGCTAGTATTGTTATATATTATGCTTGTATACATGTTTTCGGCTATATATATATATAAAATGTAGAAGCGAACAGTTGCATTGTTATTCCTGGTAAGACAAACGTCTTAAGAAAACTGTAAGAAGTAAATACACAACGTGAAGCAGAAGTAAAGACAGCTAGAGACAAATTCTAGACGATCACAAGGCTACAGAAATATGTAGTAAGAAAAGATGCATGGGTCGTTTGTAGGATGTGGCGACCATTTTCGACATACACCCGCTCACCATGTCAGACAGAAAAGCCCATGGTGCTACACAGTATAACCGTGAAGATGATAGCGCTGAGACAGTATAAAACTACAGAGGAGTAGAATAATAATGGAATCTAGCGCCGCAGGTGTGAACAAAATTCAGATATGTAACTGAGCTTTTAATTTTTGAAACTAGGCCTGAAAATTTTAGTCAATGTCATGACAAATGGGACCAAATTCTCGTTAATGAAAGGATAAGAAATAGGACAGAATCTTTAGGCCTGTCTGTCAATTTCACCTGTTTCATGAGAGTAGAAATAACAATTCTACAGTTTGTCACTCCACGACAAGACTCACTAGTGGTATTACTACTTGGCGAATCACTGTATAAGAGAGAGGGGATGAAGAATAATGACATAATGGAATTGAACGCCGTAGGCGAGAATTTTTTTCAAATTATGTGACAAGAGCTTTTAATTTTTAGGAAGTGGGCCTGAAGGAACTTTGTCTCATGGTGGCACTTATTTGGTCTCTCTAAGCCATTTACTGGACTTTGGGGGAAGATTTTGCAGAATTCTGATGGTCTGAAAATACGTTTTAAGAATGAGTTCGCGAGAGAATCATACAAAATTTAGAACCAGCGGCTGCCAGGCAGGATACGCCCACATTTTCGAGAGATGGATAGAGAACAAGCTAAAATGAAAGTGATTTTTCCTACAATCAAGGGCCATAATTCAGGAAATTATAATTCGATATGCGCAAATATCGAAAGGAACCGAGATCTTTGTGTTATAAACTTACATTTCAAGTTTCAACAAAATCAGATAAAAATTGTGACATCCATAGGATCCACAATCTTGATATACCATATTTTTACGCTATTTGAGAACGAAGGGCGGCCATTTTGTCTGTCAGTTTAGGGCCGATTTTCACGAACAGTGATAAATTAATACGTATTTTTTTAAATAGGATAAAAATGATGACCTCTTTAGGGTCCACAAGCTAAAAACGCGATTTTTCGTACAATCAGGTGCCATAATTCAGGAAGTTACAGACCGATATGCGCGAATATCAAAAGGAACCGAGATCTTTGGGTTATAAACTTACATTTCAAGTTTCAACAAAATCTGATAACCAGCGGCTGCCAGGCAGGATACGCCCACATTTTCGAGAGATGGATAGAGAACAAGCTAAAAAGAAAGTGATTTTTCCTACAATCAAGGGCCATAATTCAGGAAATTACAATTCGATATGTGCAAATATCAAAAGGAACCGAGATCTTTGTGTTATAAACTTACATTTCAAGTTTCAACAAAATTGGATAAAAATTGTGACCTCCATAGGATCCACAACCTTGATATACCATATCTTTACGCTATATGAGAACGAAGGGCGGCCATTTTGTCTGTCAGTTTTGGGCCAATTTTCACGAAATTCAAACTCAGCCGTCCTTATGGTGTAACGGTGATATAATAATACGTTTTTTTAAATCGGATAAAAATTATG